CAGGTGAGCTCGCCCGGCGCCTCCGAGGCGACGGGGGCTGCAGGTCGCCCGGAGTTGGAGCCCCCGCGCATGACCCGGGAAGGGGCCCGCGGCTCCTGCCGCCCGATCCGGGCTCTCGGCGCCTGGAGTGGGATCGCTCCTCGGGGGGTGGGGCGGGCGGTGAGGGCACCTGGATCGCCGACTGGGGATACGTGGGACTAGGGGCGCCGCGGGGGTGCGGCGCCGGGGTCCTCGCAAAGTTGGCGCCCACGCGCGCCCGGGCGGGTCTCGAACGCGGGTATTAGCGCCGGGCGCGGCCGCGATCAAAAAGGGCCCCGGGTTCCAGGTCGCGCGGTTCCGGTCTCTGTGGCCGCCTCTTTCCCTCCTGGGCTCAAGGAAAAGGGGAAAAAGAGAAAACTTGTCGACCTCCGGGAGGAGTTCGCGAGGCGACGGAGAGCGTGGTGCCCACGGTCCTCACCGGGCGCCGGAATCTCGTCGGTGATTGCAATGGGGTGCATTTATTTATTTGTTTTTGTTTTTGTTTTTATTTATTTATTTATTTCTTCTCTGCGATTTTCACAAAAAGGGTTGTGCGACTGTCCCCATCTTAAGGGGAAGTTGAAAGTGAAGGGGGAGGGGGTGCTCTATGAGAAACGCTGCCGTGTGTGTAGAGTTACACATTTCCGGAGCACACTGCAGATTATATTGGCATCTCTTCCCAAAAGTCACTTTGATTCAACTTCGATGAGTTTCTCGTAAATGGCAGCTTTTACGTGGTGAGAGGCGTGAGGAAACAAGCTGATTTGATTTCCAGTGGGAGTCTCAGCCAGAAGCGTGCCTGACTTTTGAACCCAGATTTGATAGTTTTGCTAGTATAAAGTTATTTTCCAATTTTCCTGCTCCCTAAGTATCCTGCCTCTTCATATCCGGGTTGAAGCAGTTATGTAGGATGTATCTCGTTTCGTTTTCTTCAGTTGTGTTGGGTCCATTCTCCCTGCTTTCTCAGTTCTTTCAGAGAGGGAGAGTTGTAAATGGCTAATGTATGAAAGTGAAGTGTGCTTAACCTCTGAATAGAAATCAGCATGTAAAATTTGTTCATATACAGGAGCTGAGAACTTCAGTAATGCTCTTCAACAGTATTCTCGAGAATTAGTAACTTTGCCTTGGCACGAAGGCAAAAAATTAACTTTGAGTGGAGATTCTGAGCAATAACTTGCCCTCTCTCAGGGTGGGACACCTCCAGGGCTTTGAAATAATAATGCCCTAAGCCATGGCTGTGCTTTGGCAGCAGACCCTGTTTATTTTCTTGATTTTAAAAGGAGAGAAGACACTCTAACCAAAAGAATTGCCTCAGATGTTAAGTGCTACAAACTATACTTTGAAAGTACCAGTTATGGTCTGTATATCCCAAGTGGCATTTTGGTAGGGATCTGTATTGTTTAAAAGGTGATTGTCAGGTGTTAAATGGATATCCTTTTAAAGGTACTTGTTCCATGGACTTAGCATCATAATGCTGATTTTGAAATAGTCTTTAGTAGCTTAAAATAATCTTTAATGTGTAGGAGAAAGCATCACTGCCCCCTGTACCTGTTCAATTTAAATGAGACTTTCTGTCAGTTACTCAAAGGAAAAAATTTATGGAACAGTGCTGGACATTTTATAAAGTAGTAAGACCAGGAGAGACTGAAAAGACTTTAAAGCTTGAGGTGCACCTGAAAAATACTTTTCTGAAAGTTCTTGATTCAAGTGATAGAAAACACATAAAAATATGGGCCTTTATGAACGTCAAAAAATGTGCTTTGCCAACCATATAATTTAACTCACAGGTGCATTCATTGACACAGGTGTAAGTGTTGAATTTTTAAGATTTTTAAAAAAAATTGACTCTTCATGTTATATGTAGCAAAAGAACATCTTTTGGTAAATGTTAGAAGTGGTCTTCCTTGTGTGTAATCAGTTCTACCAACATGTTATAAAGAACTCAAGATTTATCCCTTACTAATGTTTCTTTCTTTTCTAGGGAGATTTCTGTGGACAGAAAGAAGTAGCAGATTTTAAACTATAACAAAGCTTTATTTAAGCTATAACAAGACTGATTTGCACTTTGAACTTACATGACCTTAGATTTGCTGATTTACTCAAGTCATTTGATTCCTGATTTCTTTGAGAGTATGAAAGTCTAGGTAAGAAGCTTGAGTGTTTATTTAATAATAGTTCTCTGACACTATCAGGGATGATGAGAGAGGTAGCTGTGTGGTGTTTACCCTGGACTTGTGATGTGATGGGGGGTTTCTTTAATAGGCTTTTGAATAGTGCTGTTCCTGGAGACTGTGGACCTCTAGGGATCCATGGATGGGCTTTAAGGGATTCCTGAACATCCTATAGTTGTTAAACAGCTTAACAATACCCACAACCCTCAGACCAACTAACACCCTATAGTTGTAAAGGTGTGTATTTGTGTGTATGTGGGCGCTTGCGTGAAGAGGTCTACACTTGTTTTTTAAAGGAAGTCCAGAACCCACAAAATTCAGAGATTTCTGCTTTTATTAAATAAAATTGTAGTTAGACTAATTCTCAAGAGAAAGGCAGGGAGAAAAGGTAAACCTTTGTGCTGCATACCTGCCTTTTACAGTTGTTTTTAGTCTAGTCATGTGGTCTTAGAGGTACAAAGCACTTTGATTTTGTCCCCACAGCAAAGCATTTCCTATCAGTTGATAATTCATGCATACACATAAAGGGCTTAGCATGACAGTCCTGGTACATTGTTGTAATTTAAAAATTTTACTTAAAGATGTAAACCAGTTAGATGATTAATAAGCAGAATTGAGAGTGACAGCCAACCCTTAGGACAAGTGGTTGATTTAGCCCCACTATCTTATTGCTTACCAAAAATCCCAAAATTTGACTAGTCTAACAAAATGTTTGTGCCGTGGCAAGACAGCAGAGCATGATGGGGAAAATGCAATTTCTGATTCAAACAGACTTAAATTTAAATCTGAGTTTTTTCATTCATTGTAGTCATATAACCTGCCAGTTCCTTGTCTAGATAATGCTCCCACAACTAAGTACCTCTCTCCGTTTTTCTCAATAGGAAGAGTTTGGAATGGAACTGTGTTTTCCTTACTTAATTTCCTTACATGACGTTGAAGAAAGAGAGGGTTTTAAAAATAAATAGAGGTCAACACAATATTTATAATGGCCATTAAATTAAACTTGCTTCTACCCATTCGAAGGCCTTGCCCTTTCCTTCTCATATTTGCCTTTCTGCTTTTGAGTAGGTAATGGTTATGAACAACAGCTTTAATTCAGACCTGTCTAAGTTTTCTGGAAATCTGTGCTCAATTTGAGCCAGTCTGCCTCTGAGTTTGGAAAAAATAACTATTAAATTAAGTGACCACTAAGTTTGCTCAGTTGGTAGGCCCCTAAAAAATGCTCAAAGGTAGCCATTTGAGAATCATTTCATTCTCAATTTTAGGTGACAGCTATTATACCATTTCAAAAAGAAAACCTTTGCTCATATTCACTTCCACATAAAATGGTCACCTTTTGGGACCATTTTAACTCAGAAAAGCCTTTCACACCATTCTGGTTATGTGGGCTGGTAGCTTTTATTTATAGGTCCTATTAGAATTGTGCAGTGTTCTGAACAGTGGCATTGTGTCCTCTGTTAGCTGGTAGGTTACATCTGGATACTAGGTATGTTGGGGCCAAACCAACAAACATACACAGGTGAAGCGTGATACATTCTGATATGACATGATTTTATGGCCTAGAAAACTAGTCAGTGAACTTTTTATAAAAGACAGAATAGTAAATATTTTCAGTTTCACTAGCTTACCCATGTCTCTCTGCTATACCCATTCAACTCTGCTACTGTGTCTTGAAAACCACTATAGGCATAGGTAATTGGTTGTGGCTATGTTCTAGTAAGACTTTGTGGCCTTTGATTTTATAATTTCATTGGTATTTTTTTCAACCACTTAATATAAGAACCATTTTAGTTTCATGGTCCATGCAGCAGCTGGTTTTGGCCCATGTTCAAGCCAAAGTGTGCTGACCCCTCACTTAAAGGACCCCAAGTCTTAGAGGTTTGTGGCATCACCAAGTGTTACCACATGCACACCCACATCCACTCACCCACACACACAGAAAGCTTTTGTCACCTCAAGTATTGACTGGTTTTGATCTTGCTGCCCCTCTTTCCTCCATCATGAAATTCCAGTTGATTCAGTTGTTATAGTGTGTTAATATGTGGCCCTTAGCACACAGTATAGTATTACTAGTTACTTTATTGCTAAAAATTTTCTCACCCTGCCCACTTTTCCTAGAACTTCATGATAGCATCCTTGGCTGTGTGGTGGGTTTGAAGGGAATCAGTGTCTTTGAAGTTGTCTTACTATTCTAGTTCCTATCATCTTCTCTGCCCTGAAAAGAAAATAATTGATATTACACCCTCAGGCTGCAAAGTAGACATTCTTACCTTAAGAAAATCCCTATCTTGGCTTCTCCCACCTCCATTCTGCTTGATGTTTGGTTAAATAAAGTATACAACGATTCCTCTTGTGTTCTAACCCCAGGAGATTAGCTCTTGGGTTGGTGTGTACAGAGCATGTGAATGTAGATGTCTGCATATAATTTCATCTGACCATCACTGAAGCTCTGAGGACCATTGCCTTTAGTGTCACCTTTTTTCTCCCTCTTGTCCCTTCTCTCTTGGCTATTGTATAGGATGCAGATTGGGTGACTGATAATGGCTACTGCTGATTATTCTCTCTCTCTCTCTTTTTTTTTTTGGCCTTTCTGCTATTTAGCATTCTTTACTAATTGCCTTGTTTTGCAGGTATGTTTTTTCTCAAGTTTAACTTTAAAAAAAAAAATCTGCTGAAAATAAAACTAAGCGTTATTAGGTATTTTAGGATTCTCCCACCCTCCAAATGAAACCTAATGTACTATCAGAGGCATGAATTGATAATTATTTAGAGATAAAATGTTAGAATATTTTGCCACTTTAAACATTATCAGAAGTGTAAAATATGTTCTTAACACTTGAAGGATATATCACAGAGAAGCAATTTGGTCAAGTGTATGAGACTGCTTACTGTCCCCTTTTTTTCACAGCAAAACATAGAAAGTAAATGTCTACTAATGAAGGATTGATTCATCAGTTAGGATCTATCCTTACAGTGAAATACCGTGCTGCCTTTTAAAAGGTCAATGCAGGTCGATATTTATTGATATAAAATGATGCTTAGAAAAAAGATTCTCGCATGAGACTGTGAATAATGAGATTTTTTAAGACTGATAAAAGTCTCCTATATATTGAAACCTGAAAGGAAGTATCTGAAAGAATAACACCAAATAATAAGACATTATCTTTAAGTAATAAGATTATGGGTGATCTTTCTCCTTTGATTCCTTAATTTTTTTTTCAACTAGTATGTGCTTTTTTTTACAATCAGGAGAAAATAATAAAACTCTTAAAGAATACACATAGTGATCTAAGATCTGTTTGTGCCTAAGTGAGCCCTGATTCCCTGAGACGGCTAATTCCTTGCACAGTCAGTGTTGTTTTGAATGAGAAGTGAAATACATTTTTTTTTAACTTTTAAAAATGTTTTCTATATTACTATAAGCAAGAATAGTCTCTAGGTTCTTTCAACAGGAAAATAAATTCCATACAGAACTAAATAACAATTTTCAGAAGAAATTCACTGAAAGCATACACATGTGCATCTGTGCTCATACTACTAGCTTGTTATGCCCCATTTCTTGCTGTGAAGGAACTCCAGACCCCCCCTCCCAATCCAAATTCCTGTGACATCATAAGGAATTCATATCTGTGGAGGGAGTAGAGGTTAGTGGTTAAAGTGGGAGCTCCACCACTTACTGCTTTTATCCATTTAATGCCTTAGTCCCTTTTTCTGTAAAATGTGGGAATACCTTGATGAATTCTTGTGAAGATTAGATAAGTCCAGGGCTTAGCCATGTGTCAGACACTTAACAGTAACCGAGGAAGAAGTGGTGGGAGGGCTGAGGGTATATAATGGTGACTGTAATGGCAGCAATACTGTTGATAATGAGTTATAATAGTAACTGCTACTATTTCCTCCTTTGTGGATGAGGCAGACCCTGTTTGACACATTTACCACCTTAAACCCTCTAAGCACACCACATATGTTGACGAGGATGTGTGTATGACCATAACATGCCCTCTTTACCCTAGTAAAGTAGCTCAGTGGACACTATCCAAAAACATTTTCAGGAGCTACTACTCACTGATGTCTGTAAATATTTAGTTATTCACTAACACTGGTGACCTATAGCAGGCCTTTCCTTTTGACAGCAGGTGGTGAACTTTTAAAAGTTACAGTGTATGGCAGAAAATTCCAGACAAAAAAACTTGTAGGAGAATGCTTTGATTTCCACTACTTGAAACATAGTATTTTTGTTTCATCCTGCTTCTCTTAGCTAGTTACCTACAATTGTAACTCTACTATGTTTACATCTGCATCGTGTGGTGTAACCACCATAATTTTAGAAAATTTTCATTTGTTTTGGCTGTGGAGTATATTCTACCCCCTCCAGAATTCCCAAATTCTGACTGAGATACATGCATCGCAGTATTTCTGTAGAATAAGAAACATTGACCTGGTCATAAAGAATGAGAAGTGTAACCAAATTTTATCCTGACATAGTTATTCACTAACACTGCTAACACTGGGACTTTTTTTTTTCTTATTTTGCTAGTAGGAAATAGATGAAAAAAAAAGTTAGAAATAAAATTCATGACTCCTACCTATCAGTTACCTATTGCTGAGTTAAACACAACACACTCCAAAACTATGTGGCTTAAATAATGACCATTTATTTGCTCACGGTTGGGGCGAGGTGGTTCTTCTGCTGGTCTTGCCTGGCAGTGATCATTAATGTCACTGTTGTTTTCTGGAACCTCTCTCTTATTAGAATTATTAGGTCTAGGGATTTGTAGCTGGGAAAGCCCATCTGAATGCCTTTGGCCTCATCTTTCAGCAGCTAGACCAGATATTCTCACTCTTCTCTCATGGAGGCACTGTGCTTGAAGAGGGAGAGAGCTGCAATATTTCTTGAGTCCTAAGCTTAGAAGTCACATAGTATCATTCAGCCACATTCTGTTGGTCAAGGCAAGTCACAGGTCCAATCTAGA